ATTCATATGAACTGAAAAAGTTCTTTTGAAAAAGCCTGGTGCTGATGAACGATTCTAGGCAAATCGATTTGGTTTTGTCTCCCACCGCAGCGCGTGCAAATCTCGCTTGATAAAGAAGTGAGTGACTACCAGTTTTTACCCACAGTTCGAAAATGAATGGCGTTCATCGTCACCTGCAGCTTTATAACAATGGGATTAAATCAGCTCAGCCATACCGTCGATCGGTGTATAGTTTCTGGGCCGCCCAAGGGCGCTTTGTTACTGTGCTCTATTCTATGACCACGCTTCTGCACACGAACCGCTTGCATTTCATTCTACGAACTGACGTTTATCGATCGCTCTCGGGGCACAGAATGAGGAACTCTGAGCGACTACTCCAGAAGGGAAACACACATATTCAAACCGACTGAATGAAAATAAAAATTTAACCATGATACAGTTGTTCTTTGGATACGATAAACCAGGGGCAAAGTTAGGATCGATCTAACTTCCACCTAGTCATCACGTCAGTGTGAAAACGTTTTACACCGTGCAGTTTATGTAAATATCTCTTGACAGATTTAAAAATCATTTTTTCTCCGAGGAAAAATGGGACCTAATCCTGACCATTTTGTTCATTGTGGAACTTTATCACGTGCACTACATAGCGCACCGTTTTTTAACCTGGACAAATTCTATACATGACATATTTCTGGGATTCAGTGGAGGACATTTTTTCGCGGAAACTCGAAAAACTCCGCTACTAGTCTTTGATAGGCTGCACAAATGTAATGCATATTACTTTGTAGAGAAATGATCTCAGAGAGTGCTGAAACAGATGATGATGTTTTCAAAAGAGGGTGCCAATGAGGGTACGTAAGGACGAGGCAGTCTCCTAAAGGCGGACATTTCCAAGGAACACGAAATCGCGCCTGGTACTGATAGCAGCCTGTATCGGGGAAAACATGGCAATTTCGGCGCCCTTTTGACTCAGACTGCACTACGAAAAATCGAATATTCAAACCTGACAAGGTCTACCTGTTTTCGGTATTCGAGACTTATAAACTTGAGATCGGTTCATTGTCGTTTGAAATTCTTTATCTTTCGGGATAATATACACAGTTGTGCTTTTTACAATAGTATTTAGAAACATACTGATCCTGTGATAGAGAGCAAAGAAATTATATCCGAACATCTTGAAATGTTGTAATTTAAAGATGTGTACCGTATTTCGGAACGAAAGACTCGCTTTCCAACCTGGGGTATTTATGTTAGTACAAACAAAAACTACTGATGAATCCTTATTAGTAGTATTTTACTTCATATATATCTTTGGACCAACGCTATACCTCCGATAACACGAGGCATGTTAGCTTTATAACAACTGATTCTAAGGGATATATTCTTAAGATAACGTGCTGCAAAGTCACGTGACTACGGGTTTGATATATTGCATGTTCTAATATGGTGCCGGAGATCTCGGCAAGGTTTATCTTTGAACACATGAGATTCATATAAACCGGTTCAGCTCCTGTTATCATCATCTGATCAGCAATTAGTACACGCTAACGGTTATGCTCTCAGCATTTGTTTTATCTTTGTTTACCTGATTTGTCCCTTAATAGGTTATCCGCTGCAGTTTAATTTGCGGATATTGCTGTATACATCCATCGATAACGATTTGTCGTATGCCGGAAGGTTTGCTTAGCCTGATACCTGTGTGATTCTGGAAATACCACGGTTAATAGCCTAGTAATTAAGGTCAACGGGAAATTGAAACCCTTCCGTTTTTTACGATTAGTTTACTTTAGAAAATGATTAAAAAACGACACTGGAAGTATTCTAGTCTTAGGTAAGAATATTGCGGAAGAATAATTTCCTTCAAAAATGTCAGCATCACTTAATTGAATGCTGGATGTAGGTCACTAAAAGTAGATACAAAACTGTAAATCATCGACGTTTTCGGAGGTTGATGCAACCTTTTCACTGTTTTTCGGTGCATGACTTGGCATGACTTCCATTTTTGCCCACGCAGTTGTGTGCTGGATGAGAACAGTACGCAAAAATTAATTGCTGTCTCAACGCGAATTACCTGGGGTCTGCATCAGACACACAACTTTAGAAAATTTCTACCGAGATGACACTGGAGCAGTATTTATACGCAGAATGTGTACAAACCAGCCTTGAAGGAAAACGGTATGATATATGTCTGATTTAATTCTGGTTAAATAGAAGGAATTGCGGAAAATTGGCAATTCGAGACGTTCTTGTGTCGGAATTCATGGGGCTGAAAATGATATCATAGTCACCTGTAACGTCGCTTGCAACAAAAGGAGACTGTTTTGCTGTACACATGGGAGCCTCTTTACCCGAAAAAAAAGAAATTTATAAAATGATGAAATTTGGTTTCGCCACCGAGACACCGACCCTGTAGCACTCTGATCTCATCGATCTTTAACGACATTCATGATATGGATCTTTTCTTTGCTACCCGAGCGGATAGAATCAACTTTAATTAAAACCAAGCCAGGCAAAATTAACATCCAAATTGGGGTTTCACCAATAACTGATTGGATCTTCCTATGTCCATCAGTATCCAGACGGCTTATCCGAGCTATTTCTTCTCCCTGGGGTATCTAGTACTTAAATTTGCTTGGATTACTACATTTGGGCTTCTTTTCAAGGGAGATATTTTCAAGAACAAGACAAATGAATTATCAATCAGGCAAAAGTGTTTACGGGCCACTCAACTCTGTTTTTTCGGGCCACTTAAACAGAATAACAACAAGGGGTACTGATTAAAAATCTGTTGACCGGGATTATAAATAGTGCCATCGAACAAGTGCAAAGGCATGGTTTATAATATTATACTAATTTCCATCGCTTAAAGACAGAAATCGCACTGCAGGACACAAAAGCGCATCAGATTACGATTAAACACACAGACAGATGCACACAAAATTATCTTTTTGCTGGAAGATTCAACTTAATCCAGATGAATCTCTCATTTCTGATGGCTTTCTTCAAATAAATATGCTTCAAGTAGAAGTAACGTTTAAAGGGGACTCGAGAACTGCGCCTACCTGACAACAAGAGCGAAACCAGTCGTGGGTTGTCGGAGAGTTTTCAGTAACCCTATAAGTAGTGTGTTACGCCTAAGCAATAGTCAGGTCAACTTTTTGTTAAACGCCACACTTCACTCGTACGTTACAAGGATGGAACCTAGAGAGTAGCTTCACCAGTTGTTTCTCTTGCTGTGCAAATCAGGATTACGTAAAATTGTGTTGGAAAATCGAGTGTAGACAACGTTCAGTGTGCTACGGAAATTGTTCTAATGCACTTTTGCCCCTAGTGATTGATGCAAACTGCGAAGATGTTGACAAGATATTAGGTCATAAACCGAAGGTTGAGACAAAAGAGCCCAACCAGGCTATCCCCAGGATATTTTGTCCTTTTGGTTCTCCCCTGAAAGTTTTAATTTATTTGTAAATAAACAAACATGACTGATAAAAAATGAATTCCTTTTCATTAATTTACATTTAAGCAAGTCACGCCCCATTGCCCGGAGTCTGCAAAGGCACCAGCTTTGCTGAATGGCGTTTGATGCGTCGAAATGTTGTATTGCGCTGGATATCAAAAACACAAAAGAATGCGACTAGTCCCTAAACTTGGTTGTTTTTTATCACATCCCAGCGATTAAATTGACTGTCACAGTTGATAAATCATTTGAACCTCAGTATCGGTCAGTACGGACGAATCACTCCAAACTGTGTGCATTAATGTTTTTAGAAGTCGTTAGGGGATGACTGGCATGATGTCTATTGACTTGATATACTCACGGTGGAACAATCGCTCATCACTCTCGCAATTTCAGCCTCGATAAATGGAACACGTAAGCCTAGGGGGTGATGTTTTCCTCGTGGCTTGGACGAACACTGTGTCATAACGAGACTCGTGCGAACAAGATGCGTTTGTTTGAACATTTGTCCTACGGAATTAAGCCACGCTTGGACTCTTTCGATTGCTGTCCTATTGTTCTACGGAATTAAGCCACGCTTGGACTCTTTCGATTGCTGTCCTACATCACTGTCGCCGTATAAAGTGCGGCCAATGCACTCACTTGCGCACTAATTTGGTTCAGACGGGAAACTCACCGGGAACCCTGGTGTTCAACTTCAATTGAATGTCTGTCGGATTTTGACGGCCGTTTGCTTATTCAACACCATTGTCAATTAGCTTTTAAATGTATGCATCCAACCGCACACTGAAGCTGCTGCCTCAAGAGGTGCTGAAACGTATGCAAGCTAATTGCCAGGATCAGTAAACACGTAAACTTGTAACTGTTTGATCAGCAAAAAGCCTAATTGGGTTGCAAATATTCGCCGGTCTGGAGTTATTTTGAACTGCGAAATGTAACCGACTTGCGAGGTCTGTAACTGATGTGTTGTCGAATAAACAGATAAGATACCGTCTCATCAGTGAACACGAAAGCTGCTAATATAACTGTGTAATTTCCATCAATACTGCCCAATTCATTGAAAATTTGTTACCATTGGTCCATCCGTTACAAGTTCACTCGTTTACACACAATTTGGCTGTTATTTTCGAAAGTAGTCTTTTCCTCATCAAGCGCTCTACTGAATTGCTCTACGTAGTTCTTCCTTTACTTTAAACTACGTTTTGATTTTGTTTTCAAAAGACCAGTCAAGTGATGACACATTTTTTCTTATCCGTTTTGTGCTGCCATTGAAAATTCCTAATAGAAATTCTAGCTTTCGACTATGTACATTGAACGACTTGTTTCTTTGTAAGGACTTCGCAACTGTAGTTACTCTAAAGGGTTATCTTAGTCAGTGACGTGCACCGCTGACATAGAGCCGATGTATCAACTTTAAACAGCAAGCGGGGTACTTGTTCAGCAAGCAAACGATAAAAAACATCTCCTGCGTAATGGAACCTTCCAACTCGAGAAGTGAGAGATTCCCTCCTTCTTTTATTGTGATGCAAACTTGGTTTTTATTTTTCCGTGTATTTTGGAGTATACGACCAAATTATACAGTATATTATTTACAAATAAAATACTGTCCCACAGCCCGTAGTCAGGATGGGGGTAGTCGGGTCACTTGCTCTAGTCCAGCGAAAGGAATGTCTGGAAACGATGTTGTGAAATTGGGTATAGCAACAGAAGACGTACAGAGCACTGACGACATTGATCCATGGCATCAGACTTGACGTTTCAGCAGAATCACGTACAACCAGCAAATTGCTGAAGAGCTGTAGGGCATAGTCATTCTGTGTCGGGAGCCATTTTATCCTCCGTGCCACCGACAGATTCCTCTTCCTCCTCATCATTAAAAACGGGCAGTCTGTGAGCCAGTACGTCGCGTAAACTGAAAGCGTGTCCACTGGACGTGGACTGTAGCAATTGTATCACAGTATCTTCGCTCGGGCTATGTGAGACGATTATTCGACCGAGATCGTGGGCGCTCCGAAGAATATCCGAACTCTCGCTACTGGATGCCGTCCCGGCGTTGATTAGATCATCATCCCCACGATTTGGCTTATCAACAACTTCGGAGGCATCCACATCCAGTCGGTTCATTTGACTGTATAGTCCATGCTGTTGAAAATTGGGATTAACACAAATCCAATGAGCATTGAAGTAAGACCACAATCTATCAGATTATGTGATTAAAACTTGCTACACATCAAAGAACGCATCCTGACAAACGGATAGTAAACGGTCCAACTGAGAATTAGAGGTGTACCACCTGGAAGTTATGTCGCATCTAGAATGTTTGGTTTCAGCTATCCTCGTTGCTATCGATGACGACTGGGAAAAAAGCCAAAGTTGTGGACCAGATCAAATGAGTTCCCACTTCTTGATAAATTTATTGTGATCTAGTTAGCACAAACATTTGCACGGTTAGAGATAGAAAAGACAGGAGTGCTTTTATTAGGCAGAAGTGATTTACAGTGCGATAAGATCAGTATTCGGGCCAACACACATCTAGCAAAATGCTTACGTCAAGACGAGGGGTGTAACGTGATAGTGAAAAGTTGATTGACACCGAATATCTATGTGAGCAATCTCAAAAACTTAGCTCAATTAGGATCAGATAATTCATCCCCAAAACTGAGGAGTATCTGCTATAGTTTCCCAAAACCTTCGACATCCGGAGTTCCGTATCTTCTATATCAACGAAAGCCACATGACAATGACTAAAGTAAGTCCAAATAAGGCGAACTCATCACATGGATTCTAGTCACAATCAGCTCAATTTGGGTTAAAGTAGATGGGGGCTTGAGGACTGCGACTACCCGATGAGTCAAAGAGTTTTCAGCAACCTTGTGAGTAGTTTGCTTCTTGAAAAAAATTCACTGCGATATCTCGAATATCCTACCAACTGAAACATGAAGCGACCTGTGTGCAGTACATTCAGTTGTAGAATATCATAAACGAGAGATTCAGTCCTTCATGAAAACCGAATTGACTTGCAAATAAGTTTATCCCTCGAGAACAGTCCATTTTGGGTTCAAGTAGAACATAAGGTTGACGGAAACTCGAGGACTGAGCCTACCTGATGAGCCACAAGAAGGGCGGTCGAAGAGTTTCCAGCAACCTTGTGAGTAGTTTCCTTTATGAAAATACACTGTGATATCTCGAATATCGTACTGACTCAATCATGAGGCGGCCTGTGTGCGGCATATTCATTTGAAGAACATCATAAACGAGACATTCACTTTGATCTCCTGTGAAAACCAAATGAAGGTTTTGTCGTGTCGAATTGTGTTGACACAATAAGATCGCCACTTGTAACAGTCTTGCTGTTTGAATAGTTGAGCACCCCATTAAAGCCCAACGTCAAACTCACATTGGTTTGTTCGTTTTTTTCTGGAAATCATCTTTGTCTTTCATTTTGTATCCACGACGCGTCTGGTTTAATGATGACTTCGGTTAGGCCAACATAACAGAACTACATCCATTCAAGTGATGACCATTGTGAATACACCATTCATGATTCACGGAAAACCGTGCCTTTTAAAAATTCCGAAATTTAAGACCGCACGCCATTCAATGGAATTTTTGGTGGAAATAAACTCTACTGGTTTCGTAAAGTGTCCCTCTCGTCGGGGAGTGGTGCATTCGAAACCTTCCGTTAGGTAGCCAATCAATTCGACCATAACCTGTACGTTTATTGAGTATTTTGATGAAAAAATTGACAAAAACAAAACGGAAAACGATCCCATCGTGATTCCAGAATTCAAAAGAACTATTAGCCTTGTCCAATTATATCTGTAGGTTAGAGATGAGTTAGACAATCGCACACAACTGACACCATCAAGCGAGCACGGACAGACAGATGCGCTACTGCGAAGATCATCCGGTGCTAAAAATATTCCTTTTTCTTAGATCTGTGTGTACAGTGTTCACCTTTGTCGAGTTAGGTTCGCACAAAGTCTTCCGATTAAGTTATAAATAAACCTATTTCAATAAACCTATTTCAGTAGCACACAAACACGGAAGCTGTAAGGAAACGACAGTCTGTCCTGCTGTCGCCAGTATACTATCTGGTTGCTTACGTTCACGTCTGAAGAGCAATTTCAAAGCTGAGTTTAAAATCACATAACATTGTGTTAGCAATAAGTAGGTTTGGAATAAAATGCTGTGATGACATAAACTGTCCCCAAGAGCTCCTCATGGTCAAAAGCTGTAAAATACCAACGGGGCTGCAACTGGTCTTAAGCCATTTGTATGAGTTATTTGGTCAAAAATCCCCAACGTTGCATGCATCTTCGATCTGAGAAGCCTTCATTTATGATAGTTGCGAGTACCGAATCACTTTATATGATCTGCATAAATAAAATACGAAATGAGCGAATATACACTCATTTGCAAACTAATTTGGTTTTTCGAGAGACTCACCTACAACCCAGGAAACTGAATGTGCTGCACCAGGCCGCCTCATGTTGGGTAGTGCATTACGAATATATAGGTGTCACGATATCTCAAATATCATAGCCACTGAAACATGAGGCGTCCTGGTGCAAAACATTCAGTTGCCTGGAAACATCACGAACGAGAAATCCAGCTTGGTTCAAGGTGAGTCTCTCGCAAACCCAAATTAGTTTACACATAAGTGTGTTTCGCTTGTTCAATGTGGTTTCAAGTAGAACATAAGGTTGACGGCAACTCGGGGACTGCGCCTACCGGATGAGCCCCGAGAAAGGCGAAACCGGTCGTGGCCTGTCGAGGAATTTTCCGCAACCTTATGTGCAGTGCATTACAAAAGTACGAAATGCACTATATTCTATCCAAGTAAACGTGCCGGCCAAACGCTTGTGGACAATCGCCATAGTATTTAGCACTAATTTCCCTTCCTATGACTTCATTGGACTGCGATAAGCTAACAAGGATACAAATGAAATTAGGTGCCAGGATATTCTACAACCTTCTCATTACACACACAGGTTGATACCTCTTGAAAACTTGGGTCATCCGTTTCGTACTTACAATGTTTAGGGTCGTTCGATTTCAGCTGACGAGTTTCCTCATTGCAATGCAGATTTGATGACGAGGCTCCAGTCTACCCCCAGATCTACTGAAAAAAACTCCATTGGTGTCGCAGTCCTCCTGGCTACATTAAAATGCAACAGCAATGTGTGACACCATCTTCAAACCGACAAGCCTTCCGGTCCGGAGCTGCTCTTACATCAATAATAATCCGAGTGGCGTGTAAAAATATAACTCCTCGGTTTTGCAAAATGCGACTGGCCTAATAAAAGTCTGCCAAAGTGCATATCTCTTTTAGATTTAATTGTACATACCTATGGATTCACGTGAACAGACAACAGGTGAGTAAGTTGTATGGATCGAGAGGGGGAGGCGTTTTTCAAAAGCCGTTTTCGTTTTGTTCTGGAGAGAAACGGATCTCGCATATCTTGTTTGACATGTTCCATCTAAACCTAATAATCGGCGTTACTACTAGACTGCTCCAATTCTTTTGTTGGTCGGAGCAGCTCGTCAGTTTTGCTCGTGACTGTGCAAATAGGTGATCATTGTGAATACGGAAAGAGAGAAAAAATTGGGTCATATTACAGTGACATGTGTCCGAGTCAAATTAGAAAAGATAACAAAAACACCCGATTAGTGCTGTAAAATTAGAATCAAAGCAAGCAAGTGAAAAAAACGAGTTTTATGGCAAATCAGGAAACAAAATAATCACTTGTCCACAGAGCGTCCAGACTTGGTGGCTGTGAGTCGGTTTTTAAGCCAGCAACTCTCACGTTGCGCGTGTCATACTGCGTCACTTTTTCAAACAAAAAACGAAATATTTAGGTGTTTTCATGAAGGAAACTACTCACAAGGTTTCTGAAAATTTTTCGACAGTCGACGACCGGTTTGGCTCTTCTTGGAGCTCATCAGTTAGGCGCAGTCCATGAGATTCCGTCAAACTTATGATCTGCTTGAACCCAAATTACACTGTTTTCGAGAAATACACCCATTTGCAAATCAATTTGGTTTTCACGAGAGACTCAACTGAATCTCTCGTTTATGATATTCTACAACTGAAAGTGCTGCACACAGGTCGCCTCATCTTTCAGTTGGCACGATGTTCGAGATATCGAAGTACATTTTTTTTACAAAAAGGAAACTACCCACAAGGTTGCTGAAAACTCTTCGACAATCAGGTAGGCGCAGTCCTCGTGTTTCCGTCAACCTCATGATCTGCTTGAACCCAAATTAGACTGATTTCGGCAACTCAATTTGGTTTTCTCGGAGCACTCAGGTGAATATCTCGTTTCTGATGGATGTTAATTTTCATGGGTCCCAATAATCCTCAAAAAATGTGATTTTTTTGAAAATGTTGGATAATAATCCCTGGAAGAAGATAAAGTTGGTTTGTTACTTGTAGATGTCTAACTATACCCCACAGGACAATCCTCTATGTTGAATATTGGTCCCGGACCCAAAGAGGCGCTCCTTTGATGGAGAATATAATGAGGATAAGATTTTTAAAAGGAGTCTCACAATCGATGTTCTTAACTCCCTCTTAAGGGTGTATTCTAATGAAATGCGGAACATACTAGTAGTTCCACAGGTCTTCGGGAGCGATTTCTATTGTTTAACAATACAAACGTCCGGAATCTCCAGGTGAGTTTACACATTGCGTCGCATTACGTTCCTTTTCTATTTTGACAAAACGAAGGAAAATTAACTCTCTCTAGAACACTACGTTTAACCTATTCGTCATCCCCATATGTAACCTAAAAACCCAGAAATGGCGGGCGCTATTGGCTTCTTTCTCATTTGTTCTAATTAGATCTAGGGAAGACTCTTCATCTACTGAGAGAACAGCAAACGGGTTTTGCGTCCCTCGCTCCCCGTCAGAGTACCATCTGCGTAGCGGCGATAGTGGGCCAATTTCCAAATACATTCAGCGGGACTTCTCCATTTTTTCTCATAGAGAAATTAAAAAAATAAATTAAATATTTAAATTTAATAAACGGCCTGCCCGTCGCTGCCCAATAGCAAATGTAAAGTTCCCATTGCAAAACTGTAGCTAAAACGGCAAGGCGAAAAATTTCAAATTTGTCAAGGATGGATACTTGCTTCGTGGATACATGTGAAGGTGGATTTTCAAAAATCGATTGCAATCCGTATGTCTCCGCTTTATTCGCATACTTAAAACCCACCTCACCAACAGAATTCCGTAAATCCGCAAAATCGTATTTGTCAACTTTTGGAACATCGGTTTTGAAAGATCAAATATTCAAATCCGTCTGTCCGGCTCTTCGGAGGCCCCCAGTGCTGAGATGTCGAACAGTCACATGGTCTGGCCTGGTTCTATCTTTGCCTGAAAAACAAGCTAAGTTGATGCGCTACTCAAATTTCCACTGCACTCAAATTTTTTAAAGATATGCGCTTTTGCAAACAATCAGTGTGTGACTAGCAGATTCACCTGAATTTTTCTCCGGTTTACAAGAAAAAAGTTAGCGACTTTGACCCTTTATAAGGTTTGCAAATGTTACTTGATTCGAGCGCACTAACGAACCAAATTGGCGTTGGGTAATTTATGACCGATACCACTCGTTCTTTTTGTGAACCAATAAGAACTGTCGGTGAGCTGGCATTTAGTCACATAGTTTTTCAAGCGCCTATAAAAGCACAGTGTTTTTAGGTTCTCCCTGAAAACGTTATAAAAAGTTTGCGTTTAACACTGTCATCATTTTTTAAAGCTTTTGGATTTTTTGTCAGAGTCCTTCTTGTGATTAAGCCAAATACGGTAAACGTATGCAGGAAACATTAATCCGTTCACTTTTACCTGCAGCCCACACACAACACCTTCTGTGACTGACCTTACTCTAGGTTGACATTCAGGTAAAACGTCCCGAATAGTTGGTCTGAGAACATATTCGCGCGCTTTTTTTCCACCAAAAAGGACCCTGAATATCACATCATATATTTGAATTGGCCTGACGCTAGCATTCACCACGTGAGATGGCAGTGCGCTTTACGATCGAATATGTTCTCATACTTTTTCTGCCTGGTATTACGTCGTAAATACGGTAAATACAGTACAAAACTTGGTCACGCCTTCCACCTGAGTATGTCCTTAATCCATTAATTATCCACTGTACCAGTGCATGTTTATTCGCTTGCTGCCAGTAGCTAGTTACACTTGTAAACAGTATGCCCTTCATTACATCCACTGAGTTTACACCATCCAAGCTGCCCGGCTTTTTGAATTGTATTGTAATGTGTCAAACCAAAATAAAGAGACTGACTGCTTGCAATTACATATTGTCGTAAAAATGTGAGGCATATTTTTGGACAAAACTTGGCTGTTTTCGAAAGAGATTTCATCTTGTTAATTAAGCCAATCTATGCTGAAAGTCTAAGAGACGTGGTAAAGCTGTTTTATTTTAATCGGGAGTCGTCACCAGCGGAGTCTTGAACTCAGAAACTTCTGGACAGTAGTTGGACGCATAACAGTTTGGCGATGAGCTGCTGATCGACAGAGTGATCGATTCTTACTTGGAAGGAACATGGCACTACTCGTCCACCAATCATGTGCACCGCATCACGTGGTCACGTGTTGACTAGCTCCTTGAGTGATGACTTCTCAATAGAAGGTTTTACTCATCTCGAGAAATTATTCTTCCCATAAGCTACTTAAAGGTCCATGATGATATGAGGACATCTGATAATTTTCAAAAGAAATTTCGTGCTTTCAATGAGCTAGAATATCTCAAAAATTCCATTCGCTTAACCCATTTAGTACGTTTCTACGGGTTAAAGGCTTGCAAATGAACGATGGCAAACTTTTTAAGTGACAAATTTTTATATTTGCTCGTGACCGGACGTTCACTTTACCAAATTCACGCGGCTGAAAATTCAGTAAGGTGTACTTTGAAAATCCTTATCGTTTAATTCTCCCCTCAAATACAAATGCTAAAAGATGAAAACACTGCGTTTTCACTGTGAGGAAATCTACAGGCGGATTAATTGTTTGAGATGAGGTAATCGTTCATGCCTGCCATAATCAGCCCATTGGAATACTGTCCCCATCAGCGGTAACTAGATGTGTTATTGCCATAATAGAATGGTTCACTTGTGTTAGCATCAAACGCATCCGCGCTGCTTATTCCCACGATACCGACAATCTGCTTCGAATCCGTCTTACTCTGCCACAAAGACGACTTAGATCAAGGGAACGCATCAAAGTTTGTTATCCGCACCGGATATCGTGGATTTGTAAGTTGGGATGTAACAAACAGTTACCTATTTGTTAATCTTCTGAGATGGTTTGTTTACTTATCATATTAAAGCTTACACTAGATAGTCTGCGATCGGTAGATCACCACACTGACTTCAAGTAATAAAGATGTACCCATGCCATCTGCTCTGATACACTTGTAAAATGAACTGAATCAAATACACCCAAACTAACTGGAACGTTCATCCACTATGCGTGGACTTTCTGAAAGATGGCTAATGACAGTGTTTTTAAGAGATATAAGCTACTTTTAAAGTACTGTCCAATATTTCAAAACTTTCCTCTACTTCAGCGATTATTTGTTTGCTACACCTCATGGTTAAATCCATTTCTAAATAAGGGAATCTTCCAGCCGCAGATGCAATGCGGAAAGGTTACTTCTGATACCTGCGTAACCTAAACACCTGGAAAAACATTTTTTCTAACCGATGTTGTCGAGTTCGTCCACCACCGAGCTGCGTAGTTCAGTTATTTTTGGGAACAATGTAGTCACACCGAAACGTTTATTAAAACACTTTTTCAGCAAATTCGACTGGTGGGGTGAATGATGAAATGAAATCATCAGACCACATCAAATCTGGAAATAAACCTTCATCACAAACAGGTATTTTAGTGGAGATGGCTCAAGTGGTTAGAGCGCGAATTTGCTAACTGCAAGGTCCGTGGTTCAAACCCAACCTCTGCCTCTTGACTTCCTCTGCCCAGACTTGGGCAAGCTGACACTATTCCAGCCCTCCTGTTTCCTTCTGGTGGCATGAAAGTTAGGCACCGAAAGGGTGCTACAGCTGAACGATTTTAGTGGAGAGACAGGTAATATCCCTCATAGATTTGTATATCACGTACTGCACCTAAAACGTGAAGGCAAATTGAATATCTGACTGAATTTATCAGCCATTCGATAAAATATTAAGTAGTGCATATAACTTATAAAACATTAACCAACAACGACGAACGAACGATGATAAGAAGATCCTACTGTTTCGTGCAGTGGATGTGTAAATAAAACAAAAGTGAGCTTTAGTGACCGTTCTGAAAAATTTCCGTTGCTCACGAAATAAATGGAAGTGATGAAGAAAAGACATCCTTGTCTCCCATTTTTTTGAAACCCTCTGTCCTAAACGGGCAGACGTGATGGCATTCTATCATGGAGCTTTTTCTCTTCGTGCGCCAGTGTGTTACAACTGACAACTTGATAAGTTGCCTTAGACAAATTTAAAACTAAAAGAAAACGATTTTTGTTGATGTGCCGCAGCGTTTCGGGTTTATGGCTGGCCATTTACCAATAAGATTTCTTGCGCAAAGTTCATCATTGGAGTTGATATTTGAGAAAAAAATTCTTAAAAAATTACATATGTGTATCATGATAGTGTAGTTTCTCGGGCCGCGGTTTGTGTCTATCCGTGAGAAAACGAAGGATGCTGACGGCGACCACCACAACTGCTTAGAGAGTCTGAGTGTGTCAGCCTTTTGCGTGTATAAAGGCTTCTGGCTGTTGTCAACGTCTTTCAAGTGCGTCATCAGTGTGTAACCTCTTCTTTCCGTAAATTGTTAGAGGCGCCGCCAAGTTGAACTTCAGTAATTTCAAGTGAGTACGTAATCGCAGCTACAAATGTTGGTCGTGTCTAACGAGGATAGCGTTTGCGTGTCGCAGGGTTTTTTCTCTTGAGTCGTACAAAACATAGTTTGCACCAAGAAACGCACTTCTGTATTAAGGTAAAGCTCTCGGACTGTAAAGATGCGGTTGGCTCAAATAGGAGTGATAACCGTTTTTCTGGTCGTTGAGCTAAGGTGTAAAGCCTTAAACGTTTAGTTACCGACCCAGATGAAATCGAGCACCACTCTGCTTTGCAACATGATGCGGTAACGTTGAGTGTTGGTGAGGCTTTTGAAACTAGACTACTCAGTTCAGCTAACAAAACCAACGAGCGTAGTTTCTCGGTCCACGGTTTGTGTCTATCCGTGAGGAAACGAAGAATGCTGACGGTGACCTACACAGCTGTTTAAAGAGTCTGCTTGTCCCAGCCTTTTGCGTGCATAAAGGCTCTTGGTTGTTGTCGGAATTCAACGTCATTCAAGTGCGGAATCAGTTTTTGACTTATCCTTTCTGTACATTTTTTGGAGCGTTGCCCAGCCGAACTTCAGTAACTGCAAACATTAGTCCTTAGCAGTGTAATACGTGGACAGATTTATATGAAGAGTAATCATTTAGGATGTAACAGGGGGCACGCGCAAAACAATACTAATTCTAACAGGGATAACGTTTGAATGTTGGTCGGGTTAGGTAGAATTGACAAACGTTGTTCTGATCGTTGAGCTAAGATGTAAAGCCTTAAACGTTTAGTGACCAACCCAGATAGAATCGGGCACCATTCTGCTTTGCAACATGGTGTGGTGACCTTGAGTGTTGGTGAGGCTTTTGAAACTAGAGTATCCAGCTCAGCCAACAAAACCAACGATGGTGGTGAGTTTTACAGGAATAATTCTTCGGAGAACTGCAAAAAGATAAAAAGTTTGCTGCAAAACCTCTGTCAAATGAACCGAGTTTAGCATGTCACGAACTTGGGTGGAATTCTACCAGGCTTAGCTTATGCTGTCACAGATGTTGAAAACAGCACTGCAGGACTAAAGTCAGATAATCGAATTACTCCAAAGCGTTCAGCTGGGTTACAAGAACGTGTCCAGTTCGGTCGCATAAAGAGGAGCGCATGAATTTATGAACAAGTCTGTAGTGTGGTTTGATCAAATCTCACATATTTTTTTGATGGATGATCACTAGGGAAAATTTTTTAGTATGATATTTATATATATATATATATAATTATTAACCCC